ACCCAGGGTGCCAGCGCTGCAAGTGGAGGATTAGCCTAGTGATCCACGGTGCTGGCTCCACAAACATTTTGAAGTATCCTCATATGCATAGAGGAGAATCAACAATGGAACAACATGTAAACAACTGATGGATTTAAGAGTATCCAAGAACAGTAGAAGATGGCCCAAGCGCCTGGGCCCCTGCACCCACATGCAGAAGCTCCTGGCTCCTGGCTTCAGATGGGCCCAGCTCTGGTCATTGTGGCCATCAGTGGAGTGAACCAGCAGATGGAAGACCTCTCTCTGTCTCTCTCTCTCACTGTCTGTAACTCCACTTCTCAAATAATTTTTAAAGAGTATCCAAGAGGTCCTTGTACTATTCTTATAACTTTTCTGTAAATTTGAAATTATGTTGAAATAGTTATTTTAAAAAATTTTCATCGCAAGGCAGGCACACAGCAAACAGCCTGACACGTCTCGCAGTCCAGGGCAGTGTGCTGGCTGCCGCCCTCCTCCCAGCAGCCCTATCAGCCTGTCTCGGCTTCCTCCTGCTTCCCACTATGGGCTGCGGGAAGCACTGCCCGGCCTTGTGTGGACAGCACGAAGTATGGCTCCAGGGCTATGGCAAGGAGCAGGGTGTCGTGCCAGGAACAAAGATTAGGGCTGGATTCACAGTGCCACCTCACCAGCTGGGACATCCTGAGCAGGACAAGTGACATCTCTAAGGCTCAGTTTTGCTCACCTGTAAAATGGGAACTACCTATAGCACAGTGGAGTGAGACTTGGCAGAAGCTGAAGACCCTTGGATGGAGCACCTGGGGACATGCCTGCCGCCCAGGCACTCCAGTTTGGTTCTGCCAGCAGCTGATGTGGAGTCAGACCCCCTCACAACGCAGGCTCGAGGTCCCAGGTCACCCCTGGGTGCAGCCAGGAGAGGAGCTGCTGCAGAGGGAAGCCAGGTGCCCGCAGACTGCTGGTCTTGACTAGTAGAAGGGGGTCTCCCTACTGTCTCTGCTAGTGTGGATGCGCCTGGAGCCCTCACACCCACATCCGGGAGCATCTGTGGGGCTCCGCCCAAGCCCGTGCTGGAGCTGGTCTCCCTGCCCCCTGCAATGTTACCGCTCCTATTCAGTGCCTCTTCTCCCTCATAGCGAGGCCCAGAGTGTCCCTCCTCCTCAAAGCCCTCCACCCTGTATTTGCACAGGGAGGTGGCGGTGCCTGGCAGGTTCAGTTGTGATTCCTTCAGTTTTTCCCATCCCGTGCCAGGGGCCTTCCCCTCTGGCCGCTCAGTGCCGCTTGGCAGTGGGGGGCTCCCAGGCCCTGTGGATAGGAGCTGTTCTCTCTCACACCCCACAGCTTGCACGCAGCACAGATGTCCCAGCTGGGGCAGGGGAGCGTGCCACATCTGTTGGACAAGAAACTCACCAGCCCTCCTTCAGGAAAGAGGGATTTCCTACTTAGATTAGGAGATTTCTGGCCCTGGACAGAAATGCTCACACACATAGCCGACCACTCCCGCAGTCAGAGCTGACTGGCACCGGCACGGCGATGCCGTGTCACAGAGGTGCACAGACTGTGTGGTCCCGTTTCTGGTGGGGATAGGGGGTGCCCATCAGATGCATTTGCATATTTACATAACTATGTTTGCCTGGAAAAGAGTGACTGTGAATGTACTTGGGAGGAGGCTGAGTGGAATTGGGGGTAGATGAAAGAGGACTCTCACATGGTACTTGGTACATTTCCACGCTGTTTAAAACGCTTAAGAATGCATGCAGGGGGCCTGTGCTGTGGCACAGTGGGCTAAGCCCCTGCCCGAGGCACCAGCATCCCATATGGGTGCTGGTTCATGTCCCAGCTGCTCCTCTTCCAATCCAGCTCTCTGCTATGGCCTGGGAAAAACACTGGAAGATGGCTTGGGCCCCTGCTCCCATGTGGGAAACCCTGAAGAAGCTCTTGGCTCCTGGCTTTGGATCAGCCCAGCGCAGCTATTGTGGCCATTTAGGGAGTGAACCAGTGGATGAAAGACCTTTCTCTCTGTCTCTCCCTCCTCTGTCTGTAATTCTGCCTCTCAAAATAAATAAATAAAATTAAAAAAAAAGAAAATGACCTGCATTGGTCAAGTTAAAAAAAAGAATGCATGCACATGCTTGCATAACTTATAGAATTAATAAATGACAATTACCCTCAAAAGGGAGAAAATAACTGGAGTGCAGGCGTCAAAGATATCACCTTCATTTCCCATCTCTGGGCAGTCACTTCCTTAGGAGTGTCGAGGAATGAAGCCCCAGGGAGTCCCTCGGGCACCCAGGGAGCAAGTTTCCATCGGTCAAGAGCACAGGTGTGTGCATGGTCGGGGTGGGGGACTGGTCCTGCCCTGCTAACACTCAGTGCCCAGGGCTAACAGGTGTAGGGGCTGGGGGCTGAGTGCATGGGCCCGCAGAGGGATGTTAAGGGGCAGGGATGGTGCATGCAGATGCACACCCCTGTGCTTTTGGGCGTGGATGTCTGTAAGTCCAGCTCAGGGGCTCTCTGCACACAGAGGTGTCCCCCTTTCAACAGATGAGCAGGCCTCCCGCAGCTGGTCCTGTGTGTGTATGTGTGTGTTGGGGGGGGGGGTGCGGCCCTGCTCCTCTTCTACTTAACGCTGACCGAGCCCCTCTCTGCTTGCAACCTGCACACCACAGGGCACCTTGTTCTCTGAGGATGTGTGTGCATGAGGGGCCCCCACATGGTTCACACTAACAGAGGCAGCAAGGAGACCCCCCTTCTGCTGCCCAAGACCGACAGCATGGGCACCCCCTGCCACAGCTGGTTTCCATCTTGGCCAGCACTGGTAACAACTGGGATGCAAACAAAGGCAGAGGCCTGGCTGCCACCCTGAGGTCCTGATTGGATTAATCAGGGGTGTGGCTGGGCAGCGTGGGGTCGAAGCTTCCCAGGTGACTCTCCCAGTAGCCGGGGCGACAGCTGCTGATCCTGAGTCAGATGATGGCAACTTGATGGGGGTTTTCCACACCTCCTGTTCTCAGGGCAGAAAGCCCAGCTCTGTGACTGCTCAGTGTCTCCAGCTTGTTCCTCTGCTGCCGCTCAGCTCTCTCTGACCCTGCCTCACCTCGCTGGGATGACGGGCCGGGGCCGGGGGCTGCTGACCTCCTGTCCTGGCCCTTGCAACACCTGACCACACCTGACCACAGCCTAGGGTGGCTCTGATCTGCTCAGCTCAGGCAGCACGGGCCCAAGCCAGAGTCTTAGACAAGGAGATTGTGCACTTGTTCTCACCAGGTTTCTCTTACAACTACCTGTACATTTCCAAGAGCTCATTAAATGTCCACACACATGACCATCCACAAGAAACAGTCATCCCGATTCAGCTGCCCCAGCACAGTGAGGGCAGAGCGGCCCCTGACAGCCTGGCCGATGCATGTGCAGGCCACACACACACACACACACACACCCAGTTCAGCATGAGGAAGGGAAACAGTCTGCTTTCAGAGAACAGAGGGAACAGAATCATACAAAGCCAGGACACACCACCACATCATAGAACAAGAGATGCTGTCTGAACTAATCAGGCCCCGGGACTGTCCTTGGTCCGCACAGCTCAGGAGGAGCCCGGCTCATCTGTTTGCTTTATAACACAGTGTGCTGGAGATGCCCAAGCAACTCCACCCCTCCCGTTAAAACCAAGGATCTCAGAGGAGAGCTCTGCTACAGACAGACACTGGGGGAGCCGGGCTGCATTATGGCTTTGGGGAACTGCAGAAACTTCCGCCATCCTGGGCCCTTCCTTCCATTTAAAAAGAAAAAAAAATATATATATATATGCACACATATTCATGTATACATTACATTGCAATTGTGTAAATTATATTTTACTACTGCATTTGGTAGAAAGATGAATATGTTAATACAGTGAATTAAAACATTGTCCTTGAAATCAAAGTTCTTTTTTCCTTCTAATTTTCTAAGCTCTTACAACATCTCTGTGGGCCTGGAAGAGCATTGTGGACCACAAGCACCATGCCTGGTGGGTACTAGGGGAGTGGAGGCAGGGAGTGAGTGGACGCAGGAGGATGAGACAGGGCACATCCCATGACTTGGGAAAGAAATGATCAGTGGAGGGGCACTGCCGGGTGGATTTTCAGTGGGACTTTGCCTGCAAGGTGTCCCTTAGAGAGAGAGGTGTCACGGCACAGGCACGCAGGAGGGAACTTGGGGCGCATCCTGTGTACACGGAGCAGCTCAGTGTGGCTTGAAAATAAAATAGGAGTAAGGGAGATTAGAGCAGAGCTGGGAAAGATGGGTGGCAGCTGGGCCACATGTGGGACCTTGTATGCACCTGTGTGGCAGGTGTGTCCAGTACACAAACATGTAAGAGGGGCATTTGTACAGGATTTTGTAGGTGTGGGGCCACTCACTATCTTAACCTGGAGCAAAAGGATCAGAGCTACAGTTCAGGAAGCTTCCCCCACAGGGTCAGCATCCCATATGGGCACCAGTTCGAGTCCCAGCTGCTCCACTTCCGATCTGGCTCCCTGTTAATGCACTTGGGAGGCAGGGGAGGATGGCCCAAGTCCTTGGGTCCCTGAACCCATGTGAGAGACCCAGATGAAGCTCTTGGCTTTTAGCTTCATCCCGGCCCAGCCCCTCCCCGGCCAATGTGGCCATTTGGGGAGTGAACCAGTGGATGGAAGATATCTCTCTCTCTCTCTTTCCCTCTGACTTTCAAATGCATAAATAAATTTTAAAAAAAGGAAAGAAAAGAAAGCTCCCCCTAGCAGACCAGCCCATAGGGGAGCAATCAGGAGAAGTAAACAGGGAGAGAAAGAGAGAGGGTGAGAGGGCTGTGGGTAGGAGGAAAAGCAAGACAGGCTGTGGACAGGGTGGAGTGAGAAAATGACACTGGCTTGGTCACCAGGAGTTCACGGGGCACTCGGAGGAGCCCAGGCGAGAACAGGTGCACAGGAGGCAGGGCTCTGTGTCGGCCTGGCCCTGCCTCTGCAGGCGAGGGGAGCGAGTACTCACTCTCTGTTCCTAGCACGGGGGGAAGAGAGCTCTTGGGCCTCCGGGATTTCATCTCCGGGGCCTTGGCATTCTCGCTGGCCGGGGCATCTGGAACAAAACAGGTGACAGGGACATCAGTCAGAGGCGCCTCAGGCAAGATCCTACCTCAACCGAACTTCCAGCACCTCCCTCCGCCCGCATTCCAGTCTGAGGGCCCTCTGTGCCCCCCGGCGCCTGCGGCTGGCCACCTTCCTCTGGGAGAGCACCAAAGAAGGAGAGCCTGCTCTGCCGGGCCTGATAAATCAGGTGGAGAGAGTACAGCCGCCCCGGCAAGATGGATGGGCAGGCTCTGCGGGGAGCCAGGAGCAGCCTCCCCGGCAGCCTGGGGCCGAGCTGCCTCCCTCTGCCTCCTTCTCCCCGTCCTTGTCCTCAGCTGAGCATGGACTCACTGGGGCTAAACGTCCTGGATTTCCCCAGAAGGCTGCTCTGTCTAGCAAGAGGCTCTCCGGCAGGGCCAGGAGGGGATGGTTCTGCTGGGCTCCTGGGCTGCAGGGCTTCAACCTCTGATTTCTTCTACTTCCTCCTGCACACAGGTGCTGACAGAGCAGCGCACCGCCTGTGCAGGCCTCACCCCTCACCCTTCTTGGGGACTCCTGCTAGCCCCTCCCACAAAGCAGGCCCAGGAAAACCCCCAGCCCCCGCCTTCTGGGCAGGTGCACGCCAGCTGCTTGGGCCTTTACTCCACCTCTGTGTCAATGCAAAGCATGTGCCAGGCCACAGGAAACCATCCCTGGCCCGGCAGCAGGGAAAGGTCACTGTGGGCTGTCATGGGTGGCAAAGGCTCTCACTGGGCCCCTTGGAGGCTGTTCTTTAAGGACTTGTGGGGGAAACCCCCAGGAACTTGGATAAGGGGCGGGCTGAGTGGCTGTCACTACACTCCGGAATTTCAACAGACCTCCCCCCCCCACAATAGAAAACACTTCCGGGGGGACAATGCTGGAGGCAGCGCCCCCTCAGGCCCCCTTCCTGTCCATCCTTTTCCTGCTCGGGGAGAGGAAGCTCACAGGGAGGAAGGAGGGGGTGGGACTTTCCAGTGGAGGCTTCAGCACATTCCTGTGGCTTGGCTGGGGAGGCAGGGCCCCCTCACTGCCCAACTGCCAGGATGGGGCAGTCCTGGCCGATCTTGCCTAGCCCTGGCTCCTGGGCCTGTGAGGGCGGGGGCCCAGGGAGCACAGAGTGGAGGGGCTGGAGGCATCCGCATGCATTTCTTCTTCCAGATGGCATGCGGGTCCCTCGCCTGCTCTGCCCCTATGAAACCCTCCACACAGGGTCCTCGCTGAGGCCTAAAGGCTCATTGGGCCTCCTTCCCCACCCAGTGCCTGCCCAGTCACCATCAGACGGGCACGGTGCAGGCCAGGGGCAGCCGGGCCATCCCCCCTGCAGACACACAACCGTAGTTGTGATTACAGGGGTTTTCGGGCAGGACCCAGCAGTGAGGGCAGGGATCGGAGGCGGCTCAAAGCTGGAAGAGAGCCTCTCAAGCAGCCCTGGGGTGTCTGCTGCCTCCTGTCACCCTGGTAGGAGCACAGGAGCCCCAGAGGTGACTCAGGTGTCCTTGCTTCTGGAGCTGCCACTGGGCGCCAGTTCCACGTGGACAGGGAGGGACCGTGGTCATTCTCAGCCACAGGCAAGTCCTCCGGACCTACCTGTCAGCTCAGTGGCTCTCAGCTTTGGCCACATGTTTAGAAGCACCTGTACTCAGGCCCTGGTTTAATTGGTTTGGGTTGGGACCCAGGCAGCAACATCACCCAGGAGGTCCACATATGTCTCTAACATGTGGCCAATGGCAGTCTCTCCTCAAGCTGTGTGTGTGTGTGTGTGTGTGTGTGTGCGCGCGCGCAGGTGTGTATAGATAATGGGGGGCACTCAGGAGGGGGCCTCAGGGACTATTCCAAGAGCCAGAAAAACCTGGCAGTGCCTCTCCTCGGATATCTGGGTACCAGGGTGCCATGCGGCAGGGACGTGGGGCCAGCCTCAGCCTTCCTGGTCCCAGGACCTCCCTTCTTCCTCTCCTTCAGCACAAGCACTGTGACAGTCATTAGCGACAATTTACAGAAAAGGGCACCCAGAAACGTGCTGGTACAGGGGGAGGGTGCAGGGCAGGGTTGTGCAGAGTCCTGCCTTCTCCCAGTGGGCTCCAGCGCACAGAGGAGGAAGCACCAGGAGGAGCAGGCTGTTCTGCTTTGTAAATTGATGGGCAAACGGGCACTAGCGAGTGAAGGCCGAGAGCCTGCTTTTCCTGGGTTCCTGAAAGGACAGTGAGCAAAGAGAGTCCTCCTCTGCCCATGGCGTTGTGCTGGGCTGCCTTCCAAGCACAGCCATGGTGGGGCCTGGCAGAGGTGAGAGCCAGTTTTGGGTCACCCTTGGCAACCTCCGGAACTCAGGCCAATCCCGGTACTACCCTGGGTCCCTGTGCCCATGTCCAGGCCATGGACAAGGCTCTTACTCTCTCTACCCCACAGAGCTCCAAGGCCTAAGCCGAGAGTGGGAGCGCTGGGGTTTCAGAGGGCTTGGAACGCTCATCATGGGTGAACTGGCTCTTCCTGTGAGCCATGCACCTTCGCCTCCCTCTGCGGGGCCCTGAGAGTTCTCCAGCTTCAGGAAGGCCCCTGAGCAGCCCCTGCAGCTTCAGAGCAGTCCCTGGGGTGCAGGTTTTCACCCGCGGGCAGGGGCGTGGGAGTGCACCACCTCAAAGTCATTCCCTTGAATCTTATCTTTCCATCTGGCCAGGAGGAAAGTGGCTCAAGTTTCCTTTCAAACCAGGCCCACTGCCCACGGGGGCGGGGGGGCCCTGGCCTCCCCTCCTGGAGTGCCAGCACAGTGGGGGCTTGGGCATGCACCATGGGGCCTGGCCGGGGATGTGAGCCACGAGACCGCCGTGAGAACCACAGCGAGGAATGGGCTGGAAGGGCCGTGCACTAATCAAAACCAGCTTTTTGCTCACACGGCTGCCCGGGGGATAAAAATAATAGTAATAAAAGTTTAAGGGCAGCTTGTGTTTTCTGTCTATTTTAATCATTCTGTGATGAAACTGAACTCCATTTCTAGATCTGGGCCCCTGGGCTAGAGTCCCCTGCTGGTCTGGTTGTGCCCCCAAAGAGACATGGAGGGCAGGCCGGAGGTGTGGGGAAGTGGGGGGCCTCCGCAGAGAGAACTTCTCCTTATATGGACAATGCCTCGCCCCTTCCACTCCTGGGCTAGCTCTGGACTCAGGGCCCCCGAGTCTTCTGTCTTCCCTGTGAGGTTGGTTCCCTGAGCCCCGACCCTGGGGAGAAGAATGCAGTCTTGGGAGGCTTCTGGGGGCTTCCCAGGAGAGGGCAGGGGAGAGGGCCTGGGCTCCAGCCTCTCCCTGAGATGGCTCACTCCCCCTTGCCTCTCTCTCTCTCTGCCTGGGAACAGGCTGCATGCCAGCCTGAGAGAGTTCTCATCAGGAAGCCCCTTTCTGGCTTTGCTGTTCAGTGGCTGTGAGTCCCTGGGCAAGCTCCTGCACTTTTCTCAGCCTGCTCTTCCACAGTAGGAAGCTTGGGATCACGACACCTCAGCAGAAGAGAGAGCGAGCTGAAAAACAGCAGCTGACCCTCGCTGGCACGCATTCATGCATGGGCTACACTTGCATCATTTGCATGCTTGCGTCAGGTTGAACCACACCATGTGCACAAACAGGAGTGTAGTTCCACCTAGCACTCATCAGCTGCCTGTGATGACTGAAGGAGTAAGTGTGGAAGTGGGAACGGATTTAGGCACTCGGCAGGGATGAGGCCGCAAAGGAAAGGTGGGTCCAAGTCAGCTCAGGGGCCATCAGAAGTGCCTGATGGCCACAGCGGCAGTGGACCAGGGTGGTCAGGAGCCAAAGCCTGGATGTAGATTCCTACCCAGCTGCTTGGGTGGCACCTCCTTGGCGGGAGTGGGTGACTCCATCTCTGTATGCCTCAAACGTTAGGGCTGCTGCCCAGAAACTGTCGTGTCAAGGTCACCAGTGACCTCCCAGTGCCAAACCCCGAGGCTGGTGTCCAGGTCTGACATGGCAGCAGCATTTGACCATCGCCCTGTCTTCTTGAAATTCTCAGCGTTTGGCTTCGGGACACCCCTCCCCCTCCAGTGCCTCCCAGCCTCCTCCCTCTTCACGTTGGACCCCGCCTCTCTCCCCTGCCCCACCTCCTTCCACACCCACTGAGGGCCTCGCTCAATCCCATCCATTCCTGCCGCCAACTCTGACCTCCCTCCTCCGCTGCAGACTTACAGACTGGCCTGCCTATGTGGCACGTGTCCCCTGGGCATCTTAAACCACACATGAGCAAAACTCATCCAGCCCATGCATTCCGACTCCAGTGGGGGGCGTTACCACTGACCTTCACCCCCCCACAAAGACTAGTCATCCCCTTCGACTTTCCTCTCTCTCTCCAGATCCAGTTCATCAGCAAGTCCTGTCAGCTCCCCACCAAAATGCACCATGAATCTTATCATTTCCTGTCTCCCCTGTCTCATCTGAGCTGCCATGGCTCCCGCCTTGGCTGCCCCAGTAACTTCTCATTGAGGTCTCTGCTCTTCCTTTACCTATCCTGGCTCTGGTCACCACACACACAAACGTGAGCCTTCACACATGTCCCAGTGGTCCCATCACACTCTGAACACATGGCCTTGCAACCCTCAGCCTCATGGCCAGGCCCACTGCTCCTTCCTGGCAGGCCACATGCACCATCCCGGGTATCAGCTCAGGACTGTGCACTCACTGCTACCTCTTCTCTCATCCCTTCAGGTCTCTGCTCAAACATCCCCTCCTCAAGAGGCCTCGGCAAACACCCTCTCTGAACATGGCATTCCCTGTCCCACTGGGGTGCCCTGTTGGCCACAGGTGAGGCTACCAGGACCCTGACACGTCTTCCACCTGCACCATCACCTCACCCCCATTAGAATGCTGCATCCTGAGAGCAGAGACTTTTCCTGTCGTTTACTGCTTTTAACACCAGCCCCTAGAGCAGTGCCTGGCACAGAGTAGGCACACAGAGATTTGTTGAATGAATGAATGAATGATGGCATGGGTGCCCCTGGAAAGCCCCCTCTCCTACATACACACGCATGACCCTCCATGGTCAGGAAGCCCTGTCTCATGGACAGCAAAGGCTGGGTGCCTCGGCCGGGGGTGCTGGGCTCAGCAAGGGGGTCCAGGTGCCCTCTGACGCCTGTCTTAGGATTCGGCCTGAGAAGGGCTTCTTTTCCTCACCTCTCATCTGGGGCTGAGTGGGAGGAAAGGGATCAGTCTGATGTCCAGAAGGACTCTCCTGGAGACGGTCCTGCCAGAGGAGGCCACACCAGGTTGCAGAAGGGCGTGGGCTATGCATCAGGCACACCTGAGGCTTGCCGGGTGATTCAGGTTGTAACTCACCACGTCGGGTGGGGCTGCAATGCGGGCTCTGTTGTAAACTGTGTGACCTGGAAAGGCTGCTGACCTCTGCTGAGCCTTGGTTTGCTCACAGAGCAAGACACCCTGCCCGCTGCAGCACAGACGAAAAATGCAAAGTGCAGAGCCGTGACTGCCACGCTGGCTCGGAAGGTCCAGTCTTTCCTCCTCCAGGCTCAGTTGCCTGGCAAGTCCTAACCCAGAGGTGACCTCAGCTCCCCTCTGTGTGGCACAAGTGCCCCTTGGAGGGAGGGGCACAGGATACCCCTTTTCTTAGGGAAAGCCCCAACTGTCACGAAGGAATAGCCAGACGTGCTGCGCAATCAAGGCACCTCCCTCTTCTTCATTCTCTAAGGGCAACACAGCCACAGACGCATGCTCGTCATGGTGTGGGTACAGGCTGAGTGACAGTGTGTGAGACTTTTGGGGGCAGGGCAGGCCCTCAGCGTGGTAGGGGGAAGCCAGCCGGAGGTCAGCGCCAGCTGTGGTCCTCACACCCAGTGGAGAGGGACCTCGCTGCCCCCTGGGAGGGAAGCAGGACCAGTCCCATCCTGAGGTCGGGCTGGCAGCTGCGGGTGGAGCAAGGTGGGAGGAGCCCACACAATGGCTGGACTTGGAAGTTCAGCCGTGATGACTCCCTGGGACAGGTGTGTCTTCACTGTACTTTGATTCATGAGAATCTGCTGGAAAACTCTGGCCCTCTCTCTTTGGAAAGGTGCTCCAAACCACGTACACTCCGAGATTTGCCTCCTATTTCTAGGGATGCTGGGACCCACTGGGATATTATGCCTGGGGAGTCGACTGGCTGGGAGAACTGAAGGGATGAGGGGACAGAGGGGAGCACCAGCTGAAAGGAGGCAGCCAGGTGCTGGAATGTAGCGGGAGACCCCACTCCTTCATGGCTTACTAAATGTGGCTAGAAGCCCACAGGTGTACCAGGGCATTAACCCGTCTCACAGACAGCCCTGCAGAGGGAGGGGGTGCAGGGGCTGCCCTTTTTCTCTCTGAAAACCAAACCAAACCCAATTATCCCAGAGTCAGTCCTGTTATCTCAGCGGCTCCTGTTCTAAAAGCCAGAGGCCACACCCTGCCTTTGAGGGATCAAGGGGAGGGCAGGAGGCTCTTCCAGCAGACTTCTGTGTGGACATAGTCCGGCAAGCTGCGGAATGAAGTCCCCAAACCTTAAGAAAGGACAGCTCCCAGACATCTTCCGGAGGGGAAGAGGAACTTTCATCTTGTAAACAATCTGGGAAAGGTGCTGACACTCCCCAGATAAGGAGAATGAATGGCATGCCCGCCCTGACAACAGGGCCCGAAGGGCTGAGGTTCCAACAGCAGATGACCTCAGCAGTAGCCGGCTTCCTTGCAGACCAGTGGGAATCAGCGTGAGTCCCAGAGAGGCAATGGGGCTGTCAGAAATAGGCTCCCAGGGTCAAGTTCCCAGGAACGCTATTCTGTTTCAAGGCGACACCCATAAGAAAGGAGTAGGACCCTGACATGGGCGGTGGGTGAGGATACCCCCACACCAGGGGAAGCAACAGTAGCAGCTTGCACAAAGCCTCAACACATGTCCCCAGCCCCCCTCGCAGCTGACCGGCACCTCTGACCATCAGACTCACAGCCGGGTGGCAAGTGAAGTCACACAACTCACAGGAGACGGATGGACGTGACTCTCAGCCTAGCTGTTGGCCACAGCAATCTAACTCTGTCATTGTGTGTGTATTGTTTTAAAAAGGACTTTCTCCCTTCTCCGCACCACTCATTACGTAGGGTAAACCTTGGTTTTGTGATCAGGAAATCCGATGATAAAACCCAGAAGGAGTACAAAGACCGTCTCCTGTGCAACGGCAGCGACACCGGCGGGAACCTCAGAGCTATGGCGATGGCTCGCGGGAGCCCGAGCAGCAGAGCTGTCCTCCGAGACGCCTTATTTGGACACTGGTTCTTGACATGTCACGTATGGCTATTAACCAGGCATTTCAAGGGCGAGACGCTTGTTTTCTAAAACTACCTTTCTAGACATTTCCAGGCAAATTCAATACAAAGAAAGGGCCTTGGGTTGCGAGTCCCCAGATGGGGGTCAGGCTGTGGCTGAGCCTGCGAGTGGAATGCTTTCGCTCTCTGAATGGCCTCAGGGTCCTCACCCGTGAGGTGAGAGTGTTAGCCTGAATCATCATGAGGTTTGTGCTACTCCTGGGTCCCTCATTCTGCACACCTCACAAGGAGAAAGAGGGAAGACTCACAGCTACACTCCGGTGGTTTCTGAAGGTCCAGTCCCAAGCCCCTGCCCCCTACGGACCCTCCACTCAGCTGGGCAGGCCTCCTCCCTCCCTCTGCTGCAATAGAGTTGTTTCCTTTCCTGCCCAGACACTCAGCCCCACTCACCTCACCCGGACCCCGCTCTGCTCCCTCTTCCTCGCAGGACCCAGAGCCCTGCAGCCTGGGTCTGACCTGCCAGCTCCCACTCTGGCTGTGGTGGCTTGGAAAACACGTTGTAGTCATTTTCCTGTGGGTGTGTCTTCTCCCCCGCCTCGTGCCCCTTGCCCCGGCTGCCCTGCTCAGAAGGCTCTGGGCGTGGAGGGCGAGCGGCCCCTCCTCCTGGCTCAGGAGTGCAGGACGAGGCCACATGAGCCATCAGGTGGAGCTGCTGCATTTGTTCTCGCCTTGTTGTTATGGAACGTGGCCTGAAGCTTGCAAGGGAGGGCTGAGAAGTGGTGCCCTGTGTGCATGTGGCAGTGATGGGCGCAACTTACCGTGCACGGTGACGTGGCAGGAGCACTCGGCCTGGCCTGCGGCATTCTTGGCCACACACTTGTACAGCCCTCTGTCCTCCGGCAGCGCCTTCTCAATGGAGACGGAGCACAGCGAGCCTGGAGGGGAGAGGAGGAGGTGGTGAATGGGCGGGTCCCAGCACCTGCAACACTCAGGTGAGTGTCACACAGGAGCCTCTGGGAGCGCAGAAGCCCCAGGTCCCGTAGGAACCGACCCTGTCTCCTCCAGGAAGCCAGGGCACCCTTCTGAGAACCCACGTCTGCAACACCTGCCCCCTTACCATGGAGCCCCCCTCCCCGACCCGGACAGCCCTCTGCTGGGAACATACTGGACAGCTCAGAGGAAGGGAGATACGAGCTCCAGCCGAAGGCTCACAGGACCCAGGCTCGCGCTGAGAGAGGAGAGGAGCCAGGCCAGGTTCTCACCCCTGCATTAGGGACAGCGGCCTTACAGCACTGTTTGCAGCAGTGGTTCCGGGCAGGCCCCTGGGAAAGGAGCTTTGCACAAAGAGGTGGGTCATGGAGGGCAGGAGGCCCTGGGCCTGGGAGGAAAAGGTGACTGCGGGCAGACTCAGGAGTCGGCTTCTCAGGTCTGTGTCTGAACGAGGGCAGCTGGGGGCTGCGTCCCTTCCGTGCCAGGACTTCCGGTCACCTCAGAGTGTGGGTGGTGATAGCCCTTTCTCCAGGCCCCCTGTCGGGGAGAGCAGTCAGGGGTGCACACAGGAACCTGGGCTCTGGTATTCGCTCATCCAGCCCTCTCACCCTTGCGCTGGCTGCTTCTTGGGGGGTTTCCCTTAGGGTGAGAGGAGAAGTCAGCTGAGGACTTGGTTAGCTGCTAGGGCAGGCAGAAAGGCAACGTCACCCATTCCTGCCTTCAGACACACCAACAAGCAGAGGTATTCTGCCCAAGGCTGCCCCTAGTGTCACGGGGTGGGGGTGGGGGTGAGAGGTGAAGAGGAGGAGGAGGAGGAGGAGGAGGAGGAGGGGGCCTGAGCCAGAACTCCACCCCTCACAGCCCCCATGCCACTGGCAGGGGGAGAGCAGAGCTGAGTGCCTCCCAGTGAGTGCATGGGGAGGCAGTGGGGGCGTGACAGGAAGGCAGGCCATCCCACTGAGCACCTCCCCCACGCCCTCCCCACCTCATAGGCATGCGAAGAAGATTGGACCAAAAACACAGGGGAGGATGACATCAGCTCTGCCCAGGGAGCCTCGGTGAGACTGGAACAGAAAACAAAGGCACTAGGGTGCCCTTAGTCCTTGGCACCTGGGTCATGTGTTCAACGGAGAAAGCTCAGACCAGCAAAGCACCAAGTGCAGGCTGGCTACTTTCCACCCGGCCCCTCAACCTCCTGCACCCTCAGAGACCCAGCCCCTGGGGGCAAGGTCAGAGTCTCTTCCCACCGTGACCAGGAGACAAAATTTGGATTTTTAGGAAGTGTGTCCTGGGAGTGAGAACCACGAGGCCTGGGAAGCAGAGAAGGCTGCCTGCCGGGTAGACAGGAGGACTCTGAGCTGACCTCTGGCCCCAATTTGACCCCCTTGGTCACCAAGCGCATGCGCATGGCTGAAGTCCTGAGAGCCGATACCCTTCCCCCAAGGAACATCCTGTTCAAATCCTTGATTTTCTTTCAGTTTCTGTGCCTGAGCTGCCTTCAGCCTTAAACCAAAATGAGATAATCTGCAGAGAGAGTAGTGAGACTACTGGGAGAACAGGGGAGCAGGTGTGCCATGCACCCACCCCCACCCTACCCCCGCCCCCCGCGAAGGCATGAGGGGCAGCCCCTCCAAGTCCCAGCTCCTGGACCCCCGGCCACAAGCCTGGGCTGGGGGAGGGCCCGCGCCCTCCAGAAGAGGAATCGGTATTTCCTGTGGGACAGCTCATTCCTGACCTCCACAAGAAAAGCTGTTTCCCAGCAGTTTTTTTTTTTTTCTTTGAAAAGCTTCAGCCTGGTGGGGAATTTTGAGAGGGAGGGGTGGGGGAAGGGAGAGGTCAGAAGCAGGAATCCACGGAGTGGCTCAGCTGGAGCTGGGCCTGGGAGGGGTCTGAGGATCCTGGCTCTCTCCCTGTGTGGGAGGTGGGGGGAGGAGATGGATGATGGAGGGAGCCTTCCTCTGAAGCCCTGGACACTCTGTGAGGAGACTGCCCTGGGGCAGAAGGGCCTTCCTGAGCCAGCCCAGTGGACAGATCCAGCAGGGCTGAGCAGTGGGCCTCAGGCCGGGCGTCCTCCACCATGCGATCTTAAGGCCACAGCCCTGGCTGGATTCCGAGCTCCCCATTAACCAAACTGTTACATAGGCCTGTGTCCCTCACCAGCTGGGGAGAGCAGGGACCACGTCAATCCCGGTCTTATTTCCCTGCACCTGGAATGCAGTGCACTCTGGAGGTGATCTGCTAGGGTCTGGTCAGGAACTCGTCATCAATGCAACCTAGCGCTGCAAAGCTGGCAAGGAGTCTGGAAAGACGACTTCCTGTTTCAGCCGTCCACCGTGAGTTGCCCTCACAATGAGAGGGACCACCTAGCCAGCTGCTTTGCACACAGTAGGTGCTGTGGACACCCATGCTTTGTAGGATGGATGCACACGGGCTTCCAGAAAAGCCTCTGCAAGATTCTGCCCTGCTGACAGTTAGGAATGAATCATCTGTTGATGACAGCCAGAAAAACGAAGCCTCAGTATCAGACTGGAAAATGTTTTGCCGGGGAAGCATGGCCTGCAGACGGGAAGTGGAGCAGGCAGGTGACGGCACTTCTCAGGAGCAGCCTGGCAGCCGGGTCCACAGGGCTGAGACAGCCTGGGACGCACAGGAGGCACCTGAGCTCCATCTGCCCTGTAGCTCTGGGGTGCAGACAGGGGATGGACACTGACACATACCTGTGTTCCCTCCAGGAATTAACCAACGGTCAACCCCAAGAGACAGCTTACACCTCTCCCCTGCTGTCCTCGCCCTAAACACAGTGGATGGACTCCTGCTTGGTGGTGGTGGTAGTGGTGGGGCCTGTGGGCTGTGGAGGCCTCTGAAGCTACATCAGACATCAGAGAAGCCCCCCCAAAGCCCCAAGGCAGTGTCCCCCAGCATTCAGTGCACACGGGGAGGGAGGAGAGAACAAGAGTCTCTCGTGATCCAAAGTGGTACCAATGTGCTGTGCAGGTGGCCTGGAGGAAGTGACTCTTCATGGCAGAAGAAGTGACAGGATGTCGATCGGCAAGAAGCACCCTACGTCAGGGGATGGGGCAGGGAGGGAGCTGGGGGGCGAAGACGGGGAGACCAGGGCAACCCATCCCTTCGTCATCCCCCGAAGCCATCAGCTCCCTTATTTCCATTGACACCAGTGCTGGGACCCCAGGCACCACACTCAGTGCCCTGCCACCTCCACACCACCAAGCAACAGGTGCTACTGCTTGGATCCTTGCTTTGTGGGCTGGCTAATTCCCCTGTAGCCATGGCTACTGCGTCAGTCAGGGCATCATCAAACTTCCTCCCTGACCTCCGCAGAGGGCTCTGAACGTGTCTTTTGGGCATGGTGTCCATCAACACTCCTAGAGGTCAAGTTCTGTGTACAGTGCTCCTTAGTCCACTGTCTTGCATGACTCCCTGTTGTTCCTGGGCCTGACGGAGGGTGCAGTCGGGGCCAAGTCGTGGGCTCCAGCCAGAATGGGCTGTGCACAGCCTGCCTCTCCTGCCACAGCCCCTCTCCTGCCTGGAGAGACCGGCCGTGTGCCCTGTCTCTTGCCTGGAGAGCCCGGGCTCCTTCAGCAGGAGCCCTTCCCTGTGCCCCCAGCACTCATGTCCCCTCCCATCTTGCTGCCGGCACCTCCTCCTGCACCTGGCTCCTGTGGTTTCATGACTGCCTGTGTCCTCTGTCCAGACCTATGGGAGAAGACCCACTCCACCTCTCCAAACACCCTGCTGCCCTCGAGGACATGCAGGTGGGCAGGTGCTAAGACACTATGAGACGAGACGCTTCTCCCCAACAAAGCACAGGCTCCTAGAGGTGTGGTTGGTGGAGGGACAGAAGGCAGGGCTGGTGTAAGGGCCTTGTAAGACAAGGCGACCCCCTACTGCAGTAAGACAGATCTGTTCCCTCCATTGTAGGGAAAATACTAGAAGCTTGGCCAGCCCAGGGGTGCACCAGGGTCATCCAGTCTCTTGACAGCTGTTGACCACATGTATAATAAGTAGCCCTTAGCATTTGCTGTAGACAGATAACTTCTCAGCTGCCCTAGGATTCTCCAGGGGACACAGCATGGGAACTTGGGCACCTGAGCCCACACCCTGGCTCTGCTGCATGTGAGCTGTGCACTCGGGCAAGATACTCAACTGCTCTGTTAGATGCCCAGTGGCTATTGGGTGGGTGACGTGATGGACGCTGTAAGATGCTGAGGTCAGGGCTGGCCAGGGTGTTTAATAGATGCAGGCTGCTCTTGCTTACTGATGAGTTCTTTGGTATCTAGCATATTTCTGAAGTGGGATTTGGGACTAGCTCCGTGACCCCCTCTCCCCCACCCCATACATCTCTGCTGGTGCTGGCCCTCTTTGAATCAGTCCTCTGCACTGGACCTCAATGACTCCCTCTGGGTCAGTTTCTGTGGGAGACGATGGTGGGGAGTAAGCCTTTTCCTGCAGATTAATACTCAGGCACCCTGGGCTTGAGAAGCCAGTGGCAAGTGGCTTGGGGTACGTTTCTGAAATCAGGGCCGGGATCTGCTTTCTGCTGCTCAGTTGCCCCGAGTTGACACCCATGCAGGCCCCAGCATGGTTTGAGCCTTGCCCCCCGCTGCCATGGACCTCATGATGTGTAGGCCTGTGACTGCATGGCTCAGGGACAGCAGTGCTCCCCCCAATCCTGTCCAGACAGCACCACAGGGGGACCTAGGACATGTGCCCAGTCAGGTTTCCCATCTGTTTTTCAGATGGCAGGGAACCCTGGGGTGGCAGGGAAGGCTGTGGCACCCACTCTCCTGGACATCTGGCTCTACCACAGTGATCCCCCAGACCCGTGTGTGGGCCTTGGAGGGCTGAGCTGGCAGAGGCAGGTGGATGGATGAGACCAGTTCCGGAGGACCTTGCCAACATGGGCCGTCAACATGAGAAGGTCTCCAGGCCAACACATTAACCTCTGTCTGCCAAGACCCCCTCTATCCCTTGGCACTGAGACCCAGTGCTCTCAGTGGTTCCAGACTTGCTGTCCGAGATTCAGAGGGAAGAGGGAGCCTTGCTTTGAGCCCAGAGGGATCCCGTGGTCTGCAATGCCTCCTTCTTCCAGTCTTGAAGAGGAAGGCAGGCAGGCAGGGAGGGAGGGAGGGGGTAACCTGGTAGCAAGGAGGGAGCACAGGGCACAGTGGCTCTGATGTCTCCACTGGCTTGAACTAACAGGACCTAGCCACTCTGGCCTCTGCTCCTCATGGGTAAATGTCACCTCTGGGGAACTTCTTTGTACCCTTCTCTCAGCCGACAGCATCAGCCCTAGCTCAGGCAGGGCCCTCTCCAGGCACAGGCTCTTCCAGCCCCAGGGGTCAGCATGGGCTGTCTGCCTGCCTCGGAGCTCCAGCCCAGGCTTGGGGGTCTCCTCCAAACCAAAAGGAGGTCCAGGGACAATACTCCTTTCACTCCTGTCTGTTCTCCAGGTATAAACTGGCCTGGCTCAGAACCCTAGACCCCAAAAGGCCACAGATGGCAGGATTTGCCCCCCCCTCCCCACCACCCAAGAATGTGAAATACCAGCAAACAAAAGTCTCATCCAAATTAGGAAGCAAGTCACTCCGTCTGCCTGTAAGTGCGTGCAGTCGGGGCTGTTCTGGCCTCTGGCTTCCCAACAGGTCCCCTCCAACCCACAAGGGCTCCCTGGACCTAAGTTGTTGTTGACCATGCTCACGGTCCTGTGCCACCAGTTGCTGCACCTTCTCCAAAGTGGTCATGCTGCTGTTTGGGCAACTCGGGGCTCAGAGCCCATGACTGACCCCAGCCTCTGTGCCCCTACTCTCCAGCTTGCAGGCAGAGCCCCTGTCACACGGGAGTTGTGGGGGCATCAACTCAGGCCCGCGTCTACTTGGGGAGCCTCAGATGGGGTTGCCACGAGACAGCATTGCCAGAATCCCAGCCCTCATCCTCAGCCACAGAGCATGGGCCCCAGGCCCCTGATAGGGGCAGGGCCAGGCTTACCAACCCAGGCTATGGGCCTCCAGCACCACAATCAAGACCAAGGCTCCACAAGTTTGGCAGTGGCTTGGTTCAGGGCCCCATCTTCCCCATACCCACCCTCATTTACCTTCTTGGGAGAGGATGACGAATTTGGTGGTCTTGAGTGTCTTCCCATTCAGTGTCCAGGTGATGGTGGCCGGGGGCTCAGAGGACACCTGGCACTGGAGCAGCAGCTTCTCACCCTCTGCCACACGGACGTCCTGCAGCTTCTCCTTGAAGGTTGGGGCTGTTCCTGGGCTCGCAGGTGGTTTTTCGTTATCCGCAGCTCCTGCCTTCTCTCTCTTGCAGTTTACATCATTCTGGACCTCCTTCTTGAGTTCCTCTTTCCCTGCTGGTTTGGGGGTCTCGGCAGGCTTTGCGTTGGCCACGGCTTTCAGGGTCTCGGCAGGCTTGGCGTTGCCCACGGGTTTCAGGGTCTCGGCAGGCTTGGCATTGCCCATGGGTTTCAGGGTCTCGGCAGGCTTGGCGTTGCCCACGGGTTTCAGGGTCTCGGCAGGCTTGGCATTGCCCACGGGTTTCAGGGTCTCAGCAGGCTTGGTGTTGGCTATGGGTTTCAGGGTCTCGGCAGGCTTGGTGTTGCCCACGGGTTTCAGGGTCTCGGCAGGCTTGGCATTGGCCACAGGTTTCAGGGTCTCAGTAGGCTTGGTGTTGCCCACGGGTTTCAGGGTCTCGGCAGGTTTGATGTTGCCCACGGGTTTCAGGGTCTCGGCAGGTTTGGTGTTGCCCACAGGTTTCGAGCTCTCGGCAGGTTTGGCGTTGCCCATGGGTTTCAGGGTCTCTGCGTTGGCCACAGGTTTCAGGGTCTCGGCAGGTTTGGTGTTGGCCACAGGTTTCAGGGTCTCTGCAGGCTTGGCGTTGGCCACAGGTTTCAGGGACCCTGACAGTGGTGCATTGCCCACAAGCTTGGGGCTTTCTGTTGCCTTGACATTCAAGGCCTCAGCATTGCTGCTACCATTCTCTGCCGGTAATTTCTTCTTGCTACCCAGCACGGAGCGAAAATCCGGAGTGGCAGGTTTTGGAGGTGGCGCCTTCTCAGGCACGGGGGTCTTGGGAGTCCCCTTCTTGGCTAGGACGGAGCGGAAGTCGACCTGCTGGGGGCTGTGCACCTTCCTCTCCTCCTCAGACACAGTCTTGGGCTTCACCTGCCGCTGCAGGTTGGCGCGGAAATCCATCTGCTCGGCCGGGATCTCCTTCAGGGCTTCCTCCGACAGGGTCTTGGTACTCACCTTCTTCCCCAGCAGCTCACGGAAGTCCAGCTGCTCCACCTCCTGCTGGCGGATCGCCTCCTCGGTGTGCTGCCTGGGCTCCACGCGCCTCCTCAGCAGCCCCCTCACGTCCTCCCCGTCTTCCTCCTCGGGCCAACCTTGCCCTCTCGCTGCCCAGCAGGACCTCAGGGTCCCATGGCGCTCGCCGCCACCACCATCAGCACCACAGAGGCCCTCGCAGCTGGCAGGCTCCCTCCCCCTGCAGCCAGTGAAGGGAGAAAGGAAAGAGGCAGGAGGAAAGGGGCCGGGTGAGAAAGCAACGTCAGGGGAGAGCAAATCCCTGAGGGCGGAGGGTGGGGGGGTGGGGGGGCCGGCCAGGCTGTGTTTATAGAAGGGAACATTGGTGAGCGGCCTCTCGCTCGCTTAGTTGGTTTATTACATCGGTAATGACTTCAGTAGCCTTATAAGGGTGTGTGCAAAAAAAAAAAAAATTTCACCCCCTCCTTTCCCCGGCTCTCCCGGCTCTCCCTCCCTCATTCCCCTTCCAATCGCTCCCTTTTGGCTCTGGCAGCCTCGGCTGCAGGATACAAACCCTGGGGGCTTCTGTGGGGCCAGGAGGGAGGCGGGGGGTGTGGCACGCGGTTGGCACTCACCGCACGGGGGCTCTGGCCGGGCTGTTCTGTAGCATCAGAGACACCTGGCAGCTGCACTCACCGACTCGGTTCCTGAAGAATTCAGGGGATCAATGCAGATCAAGGGGCTGTGAGGGGTGCGGGCTTGAGTGTGGACTTGGAGTCAGGAGGATGGAGGTCACAGTCCCAGCTGTGATGTCCATCCCTGATTCAGATTTAGGGCAGGGGCCCTCTCATCCTGTGGTCACTATTTTCTCAGCTCTTGTTTCAAAAGAAGCAAAGAAGACTGTCTGGACGGCAGCTCAGACGGACATCCAGCAGATGCCCTCGTGTAGCTGGTCCATGAGAGAACAAAGGCTGGCCTGGGATGCAGATGCCGGGTCTGGACAGTGGATCCTGGCCAGCCTGCCCGGGACCCTCGTCTGTTTACGGTGGCCTCTGCGCAGACACTGCTACCTCCCCTCTCAGGCCAATGCCCTTCCTTGGATCAGAATTCTCTGTTAAAACCCCAAGTGTCCCCCTATATGGGTGGCCCCTTTTTCTTCTTCCTACAGGTGGGGAGGGGTTTGGATTCTTCCTGTCTATGAAACTGTTCAGAGTCTTCGAAGGTAGGGCTGGCCGGTCAAGGCCCCTCTGCTCAGGAGAGGGGAGGGGGCCTAGCTCTCCCCTCCAGCCACACAAGGGTGCCACCTGCTGGCGATTCTGAGCTCCAGCCTGATTCTAGCTCAGACTAGAGAGAAGGGGTGGGGCAGGTCTGGGAACCAAAGGAACTCTTGGTGCTAAGGACTGCATTTCTTATGCACCCTTCAGCACCCACAACTTTCAGCTGTCATCTTGTTCACAACACACCAGGGACCTATGCAACGCGATCACACCCATTTTAGAGAGCCAAAGGAGGCTCTGGGTCCATCCCTCTTACCAGGATGGAAGGGCAGGGCATGACCAAGACCTGGCCAGAGATGCCAGGTGCTGTGACACCCTCCTTCCACAATCCATCTCGTGTAGCCTGGGAAATTTCTGTGAGGCTGGAGTCAGCAGCGTTGTTGCAGGTAAGGAAGCCAAGGTTTGCAAAGCTTAAGTCATGGGCCTCACTCCAAGGAGCTAGCTGGTGGGAAAGGGGCCGAGCCCTGGGTCTACCTGAACAATACCTGTGGCCTCCGCACTCCTTCCTGCAGTCTCATCAGCACACGTCTGTTCTAGGATGTGTGTGTGTGTGTCTGTGCACGTGTATGTGGGGTCTTCAAAAAGCTTGTGGAAAATGCAGACTATGGAAAGACCATGCATGTTTCAAAAGTTCTTACAGCCAAACAAACTTCCCTTTTAATTCCCTTGGTTATGAACTTTCTGAAGGGCCCTTGTGGAAACACCCCTGCCCTGGAGGTCTGGGCCGTGGGAAATGCGTGCAGGTGTACATCTTACCCACAGGACCAGATGTTGAGCCTGTGTCTGTGTGTGCTCTGATCACAGGTGGCTGCCTCCCTCGCTCTGCCTGGCCCCCCCACCAATGGACGGAGACTGCAGTCTAGGGATGTGAGTCTCAGGGGCTTTGGGCCGCTGCTCACCCTGGGCACTGGGACCCTTCTGGAGTAAGAAAAGGTTGATCTATGCTGTCCTCCAACCTTCTCCTCACCTGTTGGGGTCTCCTGCTTTTGTCCCTTTCTAGGCCCATGCAGGTGCCTTCCTGGGGACCTTAACTCACTCCTCTCTCCGTCCCAGCTACTCGTCCCACAGCCTGGCCCCTTCTGCCACCCTCCTCAGAGCCCAAGTTCAGGGAGCCTCAGTCTGGAAAACTGGGGAGGGGGGGACATGTAGTTTTGCTCAACAAACAGCAATTAGGAGGCTCATTAGTGCCAGATGCTGGGGAGACCAAGGGGCTCCAGAAGCTCTGGGAAAGGCTGCTGGAGCTTGGCTCAGCTTGTAGAAGAACCACGTGAGGTCATTCTGGGGGTGAGGCCCAGTGCCCTGGTACCCGCTGCTGGCCAGTGTCAGGCCGTTCTGCGCACCGACCTGCTCCTTCTCAGCCAGGACCCCGCCTCCCCCCCAGAGGAGTGAAGAGGCTGGAGTTCAGGCTGCATGGGTGGGGACAGCAGTGCATTTCCCAGGTCCCCCAAGTTCTCAGTGCACTTGAAAGAAACTCTAAGCCACAGGGGACAGAAAAGCATCTGATGGCACAGGACAGGAGTTCAAACGCAGGCTCTGCCACTTGCCTTTGGGTGGCCATGAGCAAGTTCGTGACCTCGAGAGCTCGGTTTCCCCAGTCGTTAGATGAGAAGGCGGCTGCATAACTTCTGAGGGCCCTTCCAGCTGGGACTAAGTTTTACGACTGTCCCCTGCTGGCCCCAGACAGTCTGCCTGCTGCGCTCCCCTGCTCCCTTCCCCTCTGGCCTGGAGAGCCTCCCACAGCCCCCTGCTTCCCCCTCTCCACCCCTTGCCCTCTCCTGCTCAGCCTGCTCTACAGCTGAGTCTTCTCTCACATGCCAAGACTCAGCCCCTCTTCTTCTTCCTCAAAAGTCCCCCACAGAGCTCATCTCCTCCAGGAGCCTGGCTTGATGGGAATGAGGACTCCTACACACAGGTTCAAGGGCAAGTTCACAGGAAATGAGTATTATGAAAAAAACATGCACGGATTTCAAATTTCTTTGCACACAAATAAACTGCCCTCGAATCCCATTTTCCATAAACTTTGAGATGATGTCCCATGTCATGTTCCATGCCTGTTCTGTTCTCTGGGGTGGGGGTACTGCTCCTCATTCGGGAGGCAGGTTGGCCTTCCTGGGGATACCTGGTCTAGGCATAAGGCAGAGGCAGTGGGTGTGTTCCAGGCACATTGTTGATGGCAGCAGGATTGGCAGCAACCAATAGCCATCCCATCACCTGACGCCAGGCACATCACGGAGCTCCACTGAGAGTCACCGAGCCCTGACCAGATCAGCAGAACTTCCTAGCAGGCCCAAGGATTCCTCAGAAATAATGGTGAAAGGCCAGTGAGTACTAGGGTGGGTTGGGAGCAGCAGAAGCTGATGCTAGTATACGAGCACAGGCCTGGAAAGGCCCTGAGCGGACAGGGTACTTGTTTGTGCATTGCAGGAGCAGTGTGTCATCATGGCTGTGACCTTGGCTTTCAGCTCAGAGCCTTGAACAGACTCTGGGGAAATGATCAAGTCCGTGAGCCAGGTACCCAAGGCAGGACAGGTCTAACCACCTTCAGGCTGGGGCCCAACCCTCTGAAGTGCAGCCAATGCTCTTTGTCAATGTTTACAACTACCGTAGGAGCCAGGGCAGGCGATCTGTCCCCACCAATCCAGGGCCGGCCGAGAAAATCAAGAGCTGGAGCATTGAAAAGGTGGAACATTTCTGGGTCCCACTCCTATACTAGAGCGACGCTGACTACCGGCCCGACCGGCTCTGGGCCTGCAAATACAGCACAGTGCTCTGTGGTGCTTCTTTTCTTGTGTAACCTAAGCAAGACCTCGAACAGGGGGAGGAACAAGGAATGGGGAACGTTAGCCTCCCTGTGGCAGTCCAAGAGGGGACCTTAACCCCTCTCCCTTTGGGTATGGGCTGTATTTAGTGACTCATCTTTTAACAGACAGGATATCTAAAGTGATGATGTATGGCTCCCATGGGCGCCCCCTCTTGGATCACTAGCTCTGGGGAAGCAGCTGCCATGCCATGAGGGCCCTCCAGTGGCCAGCAGAGGCCCACGTGGCAAGGAGCTGGGGCCCTTGGCCAACAGCCACGTGAAAAGAGCCTTCTTGGAGGGATCCACCGGCCACATCAGGCCCTCAGAGATGCACAAACTCCAAAAGCATCCAGCTAAGCTGATTCCAAATTCCCAGTGCACACAAGCTGCGAGATAATAACCACATGTTCTTTCGGGCTGCTAGGTTTGCGGGTGATTTATTACGCAGTGATAGGTGACTCGCACATTCCTTCTCTCTGTCTGCTTTTCCACCTTGAATCCCTCCCTCCTTATGTCATATTCTCCATTCACCAAGTAATGGGGCACAGGATTCAGGATAATCCAGACAGAGGGTTCTGGGAAAAGGAGCTCGGAAGGGAGGTTCTCAGGGGACACCTGCCCCAGGTAAGGGGAACACACAGGAGCTGGCCAGCAGCACCGAGCCTACACCTGCTTTCCTTTGGAGTCCAGCCCCATACTGTGGTGCTGCCTCTGGATTCCCATACCCAGGTCCAGGAGCTAGGGATGTGGAGTCAGAGGGTCAAGGGCACGGGCAGGACAGGCCGACTCACTTGAGCAGGATCTCGTAGTGGCCGGCGTGCCAGGGCTGCACGTGTTTCAGGACCAGGGTGAACACATCCTCGTTCTGCAGCACCTCGAAGTGGCCGGTGTCCTTGGAGAGGGCTTGGCCGTCTCGGAGCCAGTGCACGCTGGGAAAGGGGTCGCCGGCGATGGCGCAGGAGATGAGGACGCTCTGGCCCAGCGAGGCCGTCACGGAGCGAGGCTTGCTGATGAACCAGGGCTGGGTGCCATCCTGGGGCTCTGGAAGTTGGCAAAGGGGAGAGCTGCAGAGGCCCTGCACCAGAGCGTCTACCACGCAGCTCTCCATGGGGGGAAGGGCCCGAAGCAGCATGTTACCCGAACACCAGCTGCTCCAGAAAGCACTTCGGTTGCATATATAAACAGCACATCCTTTTGTGGCTGCTCTGTCTCCATTCTCAGAGAGCACAGTGAACATGAACTTGTATGTCCAAAGCAAGGGGTGGGCATCCCAGCAGGTGTGGGGCACTGGCTGGGTGCTAGTGCTCTGTGCCAGCTGTGTGTGACTGAGAGCTGCCACTCGCTTTCTGGGTACTTCACTTGCTTCCCCTCTTAAGTGTCGGTTCTCCAAAGCTAAGGGCCCGGATAAGCTCATAACTCACTGCAAATGCTCCCGCTGCCAAATGGCTAAGTGTCTCACACAGCTCCCTCTCAGCACTCTGCACGGCCTGTCACCAGCAGCCCAGGGAGCACAAGGACTTCAGAGAGCTCGGAAGGGCAGTCCCACTCAGCCAGAGTGCGACATGTTGGATAGAGAGCTGGCTTCTGGGCCCCAGCTGGGCACCGAGCAGGCTCCGGGGGTTTCTGCACCCTCTACTCACCTGTGCCAAGGAGGCCGCACAGCACCCTCCCCACCCGCTCCGAGTGGCCGAGCCTCTCACCTTGCACTGTGAGCACAGCCTGGGTGCGCACCTCTCCGGCGCTGTTCCAGGCCTCGCAGGTGTAGGTGCCTGTGTCCTCTGGGAACACTTCCTGGATACACAGGCTGTGCCGAGTGCCTCTCTGCTCAAAGTGGAAGTCCTCGGACTCCTGGATCTCGTTCCCGTTGTGAAGCCAGAGGACCTCAGGGGGCGGGTTCCCTGAACCGAGAGGGGGCGGGGCAGCCGTCAGCCAGGGGCTTCCGTGGCTGGTGGCAGCTCTGCCCTGGCCGCTGTACCGTGCCAGGCACTCTCTCAAGCCCTCCTGGCTTCAGGAAGATGAAGTGAGTTCATCTCCCTGCTGACCGCCCATCAGAAGGGCAGCTGGCAGTGGTATTGGGCACAAATACATGCTCTTTCTGCTCATTTAACTACAGATTGAAGAGACCAGAAAGAACACAGAAGTGCACACGTGATTTTAAAGAAGAGGAAGAAAACCCAGGGCAAATGCTTTTAATAATTAGCTTCAAACTGCTTCATAACACCAAATGGTAACTGGAACACCGCGTTCAGTCTGAGCGTGTTTTCCACTCCACGCTGCCTGCTGCAGCGCGTCCACATCCGGGCCATGGTCACCTCGTGGCAACTCTTGCAGATGGTCATGAGGAAGACAGCTCGGGGAGCGCTTCATTTTGCTGCCTTACCACTGCTGTTCCTGGGTAAGGCAGGGAGTCAGCCTGCCTAGGGGTCCCACGCAGGGTTATGGGAGGATGACACTGTCACCATGCACTGGTCTCTGTTTCTGGGCAGTTTCTAGGGATTTGTTGGACCATAAGACAACAGCCATTGGTGAGGGTCTCCTCTGATGTAAGAACTGACCGCTAGGCTTTGCTTCCTAGGAGCAGAGCCTCTGAACGGGCTGCAGAGGTGGGCTGGCTGGGCCCAGGCCTGGAGAGGCCCAAGAGAGAGCAGATGGCCTCCAGTCTGCCCCAGGTCGGACAGGCTGCTGGCCAGGTGCACAGTACTGCCCAGTTTTTCCAATTCAAGGACTCAGGAAGGGCATGGCATTTGTGGTCGGGGTCCCAGGGGAAGGGACACAGCCCTCTGCCTGGGGCTGCCACTGGACAGCCCTCAGCCTGTAGGTACATCCCTGGAAGGGTGAGCCCATGGTGGCTTCCGCAGCTCAAGGAGAACTAATGAGCCAGGAAAGCCACCTCCAGGCTACAGAGCCACTTAGTGCGGCCACCAGTCATTTGCGCACTCAGTGGCAAGGGTGGCTGTCCTCAGTCACAAATGCTGTGCCTGGGCCACTCTGGGATTCTCTTGTTTGCCTCTGGCAAGGACCCTGATTTCTCAGACTGGGGTGCTGACCCCACGCTCTGCTTCCCTGCTTCGGTTTTATAAGGACTTCTGCTCCATCTTCCCTCCTTAGTACCTGAATGGGGCATCTGAGAAAGTCCGAGACTTGGCGAGTTATCGTACAATCTGGTTCTCTCCCAGTCTTCTAAAGCTTCCTGTCCCACTGTGGTTTCAGGTGACCCTCTCACCCCTCTAGTTATGGCCATCTTTTCCCACTGGATTGTTCAATGTTTTTTTCTTAAGGTTTATTTATTTATTTGAAAGGCAGAGTCAAGAATTTCATCTGGGTCTCCCATGTGGGTGTCAGGGGCTTAAGCACTTGGGCCATTTTCCACTGCTTTCCGAGGTGCATTAGCAGGGAGCTGCATTGGAAGTAGAGCAGCCGGGACCCGAACCAGCACCTATATGGGATGAGAGTGTCACAGAGAGCAGCTTAATCTGCTGTGCCACAGTGCCAGCCCCTGGACTGTTTAATCTTGATTCTAGGAAATCCTATCCATGAGAGGCAGAAAAGAGAGGTGAGAGGCTGCACTCTGTGGGTCCCTCAGCTGACAGTTTCATGCTGATTATCAGGCAGAATCAACGTTGTAAGCAGGCCACTGGGTAGCAACACCCGTGTCAGAAGCACCACCATTTTTACCTGTTCCCCAAGAAGAGACGCAGATACAGACCTGACACCTGGACTGTCATGGTGACCTGGCTTCCATCCATGACCTTGAGGTCAGAGAGGCCCTGCAGGAAGACAGGTGCGACGGGCCTGCCGGGAGCCACGGGCAGAAGGCGCTCACACTTCCTGTCACTCTTCTTCTCTGTGTGCAGACAACACAAGGTGGAGTGACCATCCCTTCGTTGAACAAACACAGGCTGACCGACCGCCCGGGACTCCGGCTTCCAGCGGAGACTGACTGCTGGAATTCAGAGTCACCTGGAACGAGATGACCGAACCTCTCGACGGTGAGGCTCAACAACCTGACAACGCCTTCGCCCCAGGGCAGGGCGGGAGCGAGGAGCCGGCTGCAGAGCCACGGCTGGTCAAGGCTCTTGTCCCTCAGCTGATGCTTGGCATCTTGTGAGATGCCTTTTCTCAAATTGTATTGCCTTTTTTGAATAAGTGATACAGTCACATGATATGAAATTCAGAAGTGACCAAGGAGAGTAAAGGGTCCCTCCCAGCCCCATCCCCAGAGGCAGGCAATGCTCATCTGCCCAGCGATGACTCAGGTGTATCAATACACAAGCAAACACATATATTCTGTGTTTTCTTCTTTTAAAAAGATTTATTTATTTGTATTTGAAAGGCAGAGTTACAGAGAGAGAGAGGGAGATAGCCTGCACCCACTGGTTCACTCTCCAGAGGGCTGCAACAGTTGGGGCTGGGCCAGGCTGAAGCATGGAGCCAAGAACTCCATCTGGTCTCCCACGTGGGTGCAGGGGCCCAAGTACTTGGGCCATCTTCTGCTGCTTCCTCAGGTGCACTGGTAGGGAGCTGGGTTGGAAGCGGAGTAGCCAGAGCTATGGGCACCAGTATGGCATGCTGGTATCACAGACAGCTGCTTAACCTGCTGTGTCACAACACAGGCCCCCATTTCTTTCTTGTTAAACATATATCAGAACACACTGCACACTTGGCTTGGCATCTCACTTTTAAAGTTAACGACCGTGGCACTTCCCCGTCATTTCCCACCACGCATGGTGCTCCGTTGCCATCTTAGGAGATTCGAGCCCCTCAAGACAGCCGAGGCTACACCGACAAAGACTGAGCATCCCAAATCTGTGCTGGCGAGCTCGCTCTGCTGGTGCTGCAGAACCTCGGAGAATGGTCTGGCTGTGCGCTAGGGTCAAACACACACTTCCGCCCTGGCCCAGGCACTCTCCTGAGGACCTGCCCACGAGCATGGGAGCCACAGCTACACACAGGTCTGTGCACAGTGCTTCCAGCGGGTTATCCACAATAGTGCCAACAGGGGAATAAACAAACCAGTGGTGGGCCATCCGTGGAATACTACTAAGTAAGGAAAAGGGGTGGGGTACTGAGAGACGCTGCAGCAGGAGTGAAGCTCACAATACTGACGTCGAGGGGCCAACATTGTGGTGCAGTGGGTTAGGCCACCCCACCCATGTGGGAGACCTGGATGGAGTCCCAGGCTCCTGACTTCAGCCTGGCCCAGTCCCAGCTATTGCAGCCATTTGGGGAATGAACCAGTGAATGGGAGATTTCTCTCTCTCTTTGCCTTTCCAATAAATAAATAAATAAATAAATAAATCTTGAGAACTTATTTTGAGTACAAGAAGCCAAAGAGAGACTACATGTTAGATGATATCACTTCTATAAAACTGAAGAACAGACACAGAGCAGAGTGACAGAAAGCAGAGAGGTGGTTGCCGGGGGCCCAGGGCTGAGGCTTGGGGCTGGATTACAAACGGGCACAAGGGAGCACTTGGGGGTAAAGCAGACGCTCATTCCCTAGAGCGTGCAGGTTTCCTGGAGGTGGACATCAGCCCTCGTCACCAAAGGAAGCACCTTCCGTGTACACAGTCTGTTGTGCGTGAACACCAGCTCCATAAAGACTGGGCAGGGGGAGCACGGGCTCATCAGGGACACACCCAGACCGCTGTCTGGGTGCAGGCCTGGTCCACTCACCCACTGAGTGCCCGCAGAGATGCACTCACAGAGAACCTCTTCCTCATTCTTGGACCCCACCCCCGGTGGGGCTCCGACTGTGCCTTGCAGGGGCTTGGGGAGGGGCTGAGCAGACTGCTGCATGCACAGCTCAGGCCTGGCTGGCACTGTCTTCCCCTTTGTCCTGGGGGCCAGGGAGCTTTGAACTTTACTAAGCCCCTCCAGCTCCTGGCTGCTGATGTGGGCGCTGAGATGAGGCTGGGGCTGGAGCTATGGTTTGGGGGTGGTTTGTCCCCACTGAAATTCACACTGAAATTTGATTCCCGATAGGGTGCTCAGGTCATGGGGGCACCGCCCTCAATGATGGATCAAGTCTTTCTCAAGAGACCAGACCAGGTGTTCTTGAGGCTGGCGTGGTTCAGGCAGGCGTGAGTCGGCAGGTGGTTAGGGTGGGGGTCCGGTGTCTGCCCCGCCCCAGCTGTCTCTCTTGCACACGTGCTCCTTCTGCACACAGCTGCTTCCCCCTTCTGCTCAGCCCTCCTGACACGACGCAGCATGAGGTCCCACCAGAACCCAAGGAGGTGCCGGACCCGTAGAACCATGAGCAGAAATCAATCTCTTTTCTTTACCAACTATCTAGCCTCGGGGATTTTGGTTACAGCCATGAAAAACAGATGAAGACAGCTGGGATGTTTCTTTCTTAAGCTCTAAGTTTTGAGAGACAGGGACGCTGGCATTTGGGGAATTTAGTAGCTCACAGCCACAAGTACCAGACTTTGTTTAGGAAGCCTGGGTCTGTGGGGCTGCATTTCCAGGGAGCTTTACCTACCTGAGCAAGGCCTAACTCCAAACTGGCTGCTGAGCTTTTATTTGTTGCCACTGAAAACAAAATCAGGCCCGCTGCCCAGTGCAGCTAGCCCAGCCTCTGGGACTGTGGCTGGGGAGAGACTGGTAAGGCCCAGGAGGCTGGAGACAAACTCCCCCAGAGCAGGTGCAGTCAGACAGACATGGGTCAGGTGTGCAAGAACAGGTAATGGCCCCAGCCAGAAGACAGGGCTCTCAGGGTCCTGTCTTTGGCCCACGTCCCAGAGCAGGCACCGTGGCTGTGCCAGGGGGCGGTCCCCAGGCCCTGGCAGGAGGTCTGGGAGTGGACTTAGGGGTACTGCACTGGAGACGCACAGCTCTGTCCCGGCTCCCCGACTGCTGAGCAGCTGTGAGGGACGCTGGCTGCCTCGGGAGAGTTGAGGAATTTCCTGTCTTACACAGTCTGAGAAGGCTCCAGGACTCTGGTGCCCTCCCTGTTCCCACCTCTGTGTCGTCTCAGCCGGAGTCCCAGCCTCGAAGAGCCCAGTGCACATGTCCTAGGCGTTGCCGGGACATAAAGAGCTCCAGCTTGCTCTCCTTCAGGCAACCTCCCCCTGGGCCCACCCTCTCTCCGTTCCTCCCACTGCCTGCTGCTTACTCTTGGGGTTTGCAAAACCCAGCCACCCTGGGGGTCTCAGCCACTGGAGACTGCAAACTTCTCTGTACCTCTCTCCCTGGGAGCCCCCCAGGCATGTGTGGGAGGGGGCTGGGAGCTGCCTCTCTGGTTCTTTAAAAGCCTGAGTACAGGGCATGGCCGGTGCTGCACTGGCAATCTAATGGCCAGGGGGAAGTGCCATCTGCCGGACGCCCAGTGTCCCTACCTGCCTCTAGGGGCAGTATCATTACAGGGCCCCAGGAGGTGGCAGAGACAACAGGTGAAAACCCTCTGGGCAACTGCTCGTGACCAACGACCACATCTGTACGAGGCTGGCATGAGAACCACTCAGACCTGTGCCCCGGGGCTCACCTCCATCACGGGCTTAGCAGCAGCAAAAGAACCAGCGGAGACCGGGCCTCACCCAGGGATCACAGACCCGTTTAACACGACCTGAAGCAAACACGGTTAGGAACTACCACGAGGTGTGGCTCACAGCAAGCTGGGGACACCCCTGCACCTCCACCCAGGAGGCGAGGACGGAGAGTGCCAGTGTCGCCCACCACCTGCGGCCCTGTTCCGTCTCCCTCAAGAGCCAAAGGAGGAAGGAAATGACTGCGAGTAAACGTTTGGAGCGAGCCTGCTCTCAAAGCTGCAGGCCAGGGTTCCTGTTTGCATGGACGCTCCCCAGCAGGCTCAGGGTCCGTCATCAGGGCTAGGTGAGCAGTGGTGCATCAGGCTAGCGAAGGCGGAGGCATCCTGGGCATTCAGCCACCCCAAATTCCTCTCGTGGTGAGAACACCAGCTCACGACCCCAAACACAGACTGCAAGGGGCCGGGGGACAGGGAGGACCTGGGGTGAGAACACCAGCCCACCCTCCCCACAAGCACACACTGCAGGGGGCCGGGGGGGCAGGGAGGACCTGGGGTGAGAACACCAGCCCACCCTCCCCACAAGCACACACTGCAGGGGGCTGGGGGGCTGGGGAGGGTAGAGGTGAGAACACCAGTCTACCCTCCCCACAAACACACACTGCAGGGGGCCGGGGGGGCAGGGAGGACCTGGGGTGAGAACACCAGCCCACCCTCCCCCCAAACACACACTGCAGGGGGCTGGGGGACCCGAGAGGACCTCGGGACCTGGGCAAGTGAGTTCCTATTTGGGCAGCCCAAGAAAAACAGTCCTAATTGGAATCCTGAACCCCTGTCCCGACCCACCACCCGACTTTGAGGATGGAACCCTCGGGATGTGCTATGGGGAAGAGCTTGTCCAAGGCCTGGAGCCAGCACGGGCAGGCAGGATGATGTCACACAGGGCTCTCTTCAGAGGGGATGGGCCTTCTCCAGGGGGTCTGTGTTGAACTGTGCCGAGGATGTGGCGCCGGCAGCTGACCAGCAGATGACAGCCTGGACCGCGGGGGAAAGGAAAGCAGGGCAGAGACAAAGCAAGTGCCACACTGCTCGTCCGTGGCCTGCAGGCCCCGTCTTGGTTTGGCGGACGCAGACCAAACAGAGAGACCGAGGGAAACGGGTGTTTGGAGCTGTGGGCTCTCGTGGGGTCTGAAGCACAGCAGCAGGGGTCCCTCCTCCACGGTGATCGGCTATTGCTCATAGCACAGGAGTGACCCCCGTGATGCACTGCAGGGGTGCTAAGTGGTTAGAAGAAGCAGCACCGCTCAGCAGCCAGAACCACATCTGGCACAGCACCAGCCCAGAAATGCACGGTTCTG